ATATAATAATATATAAACTGTATAGAATATCAATATGTGTAGGACCATTAACTGCAAAGAGTGAAAAATTAAGGAAATATTGAATTTCTTAAAGTGAATAATAAAGCAACTGGTCATGTTAATTTTCAGCTGCTCATTTACTATGCCTCGCGAACACAGGAGTGCAATGATTGCAAGAAAATAAAAATTACAAATTGTATTCAAATGTATTGCTTAAATTGTATTTACAAATCATGATAGGGTCATGGATGTGCTGTCTTTAATTTATGCTGCCTAACCAGAATTAACCAAAATAAATAAAACCTCTGGAGGCATTTGGGGTGGGGAGAATTTAAAGTTTGTTGTATTTGGGATGAAAAGGTGAAGAACAGTTGATAGAAATGTGTTTTGTGGTTTTCAGGATTACTCGTCATGCCTGTGATGATGTGCCCATCCCTGAAGAACAAGAGACAGAGGGCCAGAGACAACTACACAATCTGCTGCTACAGCAACTAGATACAGATGTAAACATTGACCGGTCAGTTAAATATTACTAAGAATTTTGATGGGAAAATGTTTAATCTGGTGTGTACATATACAAGTGCATCTCACTAAATTAGAATGTCGTGGAAAAGTTCATTTATTTCAGTAATTCAACTCAAGTTGTGAAACTCGTGTATTAAATAAATTCGATGCAAACAGACTGAAGTAGTTTAAGTCTTTGGTTCTTTTAATTGTGATGATTTTGGCTCACATTTAACAAAAACCCACCAATTCACTATCTCAACAAATTAGAATATGGTGACATGCCAATCAGCTAATCAACTCAAAACACCTGCAAAGGTTTCCTGAGCCTTCAAAATGGTCTCTCAGTTTGGTTCACTAGGCTACACAATCATGGGGAAGACTGCTGATCTGACAGTTGTCCAGAAGACAATCACTGACACCCTTCACAAGGAGGGTAAGCCACAAACGTAAGTTGGTTTGGGTGTTGGTGTTTGCCATCTGTGTCGGTTATTTACTGAATTTTTTTTTTTTAATTAACTGGTTAGTGTTTGTTGATAAATATTTTTAAATTATTATAATGCCTATTTTAATTTTATATATATATATATATATATATATATATATAAAGCGTGTGTGTGTGTGTGTGTGTGTAATATTCACACATTTTCATATTTATTTGTTATAGGTGTATCGCTAAGAAGAAATGCTTTGCTCCAGCAGCAGTATACAAGCCTTTTGGGGAACAGGCAGCTGGTGTGAGGAGTCTGTCCCAGTTCCAGGCCTTGCAGGACGGGGATCAGGAACTGGCCACTCTGAGAGAGCTGGGTCTTACAGATGCTGAAATAGAGCTGTGGAGATGCAGGAATCAACCAGAAAGCTCTTGGAAGGTCTGATTACACTCATCTTAATTTTGGTCTTAGGTTTCGCATGACATGTTTTAAATGTAGAGATTTTGAATTGTAAGCATTGTGAGAAATCTGAAGGGGGGAGGAGGTCAGCTGTAAGTCGCCCAATGCAATATGACCCAATTCACAATTTTCTCAGGACAGAGGGGTTTGCATTGCACCTGAGGTCAGGAATGAGCGCCTGCAGACCATCCGGGATAAAATGGCAGCGCATGCGGAGCTGCTGTCCAGATCGCAGCGTTTCTCAAGCAGTCGGCCACTTTCCCGTAGAGAGATGGAAATCGAAAAGGCTCTTTTTCAAGGCAGTGACCGCAGCAGCTTCCTCACTGCCCTTTACCATAGAGGTTAAGAGAATACAGTAATATTACGTAGTTTTACATTTATGCTTTTTTGTCCCTGTTTGATTCTTTGCTGTCTTTTCTATCCGCAGAGTCACTGGGCAGCCAGCAGGGGGCGACATCCGCCAACGCAATGGACCATTTCTATAAAGACTTTCTTGAAGACCAGAACAAAAACTTTTTTGATATTTCAGAGTGTTTGCCAAAACCAAAAATTGCCACTAATATCCAGTGTGAATCACCAAGCTCTAAAACAGACCAATCACAAACTCCCACAGTCCATGATTCCGGCCCAACCAAAAACCAACACATATGCTCAGAACCAAGCTCTGTGTCAGACACTGTCAACCAACCACAGTCTCAAGAAAAAAGTGTTATACCTATGAAAGTGACATTAAGCCAGTCCATTGGCACACTAAGTGCAGCTTCTGTCCATGGTCATGATGGGCCTGTTACAGTAAGTGGAAGGATAGAGGAAATTTCAGATGAAGAGATCAAGAACAATCGGGAGACAGAAGAGGGTATCCGGAATATTCCACGATTTAAGAACTACCAGAGAGGAACGCCATCTAATGTAAGTGTGGATAATAGCAACATAAATGCATTAGTAAGATATCTTTATAATATGTTAATATAATACAATATTTAGACGTTGAGCTATGTAATATGTTATATACGTACACAGCTGTTTGGGGTCGATTTTTTTTTATGCCCATTAAAGCTGCATTTATTTGATCAAAAATACAGTTAAACAGTAATATTGTGAAATATTATTACAAAAATTCTTTTATAACAATGTATTAACTTTCACTTTTGATCTTACTGACCCCGATTTCTGAATGCTAGTATATGTGAAGATGTTTCTAGACATCAGAATACATTTCTCTCTCCCTCTTGTGTGTGTGTAGGTCCTGTGCGTGAAGAACATGAGTCCACGGGCATCGCTGGCTCAGCTGGTTTCTCTCTTTTCCAGGTTTCAGAAAGACGACACACAGCCCATTCTGTACCGCTTGCTGACTGGCCGACTCAAGGGCCAAGCTTTCATTACATTTTCTGGTAAGAGAAAGATTTTACAAAATTTGTGCATTATTATCCCCCATAACAGACCACCATTTAGGGATTAAATTCACTTTGCAACCTGTTATATAATGGCGGGTTCTCAAAACATGGGCCGCAGGACATAATAACAATAGTGGCACCATTTCTACAGTTTAGATTTGGATTAACGTAATTTTTTTGTGTTTCACAGACGTCAAAAGTGCCCAAGCAGCTCTAGTCTTGTTAAATGGCTACAAGCTGCTTGAAAAGCCACTGATCATTGAATTTGGTAGAGACAGAAGTAAAGAAACTGATGCACAGACTGATGGACCCTCTTTAGATCCCAAGACCACTTCAGTACAAAAGGACGAACCATCCTGCAACGAGAAACCTGCCTAACTGCATTTAATAGGCTTTTCTTTATTTGTAAATGATTGATTTCATATGCTATTTATTTGGAAATAAAGTCACGTTGTGAATCTCTGACAGTCTGTTCCAAAAAACAAGCATCTCACAAGATAATTGTAATTCTTCTGTTCACCAACAGATGTCACCATGTCTCCATTACTTAAAGGGGTCATCGGATGCAAAATGCAGAGGGGCGGGGCCAGCAGAGCTCATTAACATTTCAAGCAACATGGACTATAATGGCTTGATAAAAACAGAGCTGATTTTGACAGATTTAAAAATGTGTTTTAACCAAAGTATGTTATAGACTTTTAATTAAGACCCTAAAGAATCATATCAACTTGTGCAAAATGAGCATCCGATGACCCCTTTAATACAAGACGTCAAAAACGCTTGGTAGTGTCTGCGCCATGGATGTATGTCTTCTTGAACAAACTATTTTATTTACGAAAATAGTTATTCTAAAGGACATTCCAGGATGATTCAACAATCACCAGGAGCAGCATAGCAAGACTGTACACTAGCTCTGCTGTTTGCATGTGTAGAAGCTTTACCTCTGCTTTTCTGAAATATATACAAGGTTGTGCTCGAAGTCAATGAACCCTACATGTACAGGACTCGCCAAAAGAGCCAATTACATTTCAGTGCTATGTTTGCAACTCTGCCTTTCCCAGATAGTTACACATTAAAGTGAAGTTAAAATCAATGCAGTCGAGTTTCAGCTGGAGTGCTTCAAGTGCCAGCACTGTAAATCATTTGTTTAAATGATAACGTCACCTCAACATAAACAAGTTACACACCGCATATTGTTTTGAATGTGTGGTTGCAAGCACAGAATGTGTCTATGAGGACATTTTAGGGTTCTTAGTAAAACAAAAATGACCCTTTTGCAGTGTGGCTTTTTGCGTGTCTTTCATTAGAACAAATAATTGAGTCCGAGTAGCAGGGACCGCCATTCAATCATGAGAATCATTAAAAAAGCGCTATGTTCTTTTCTTTATTCTCAGTAAAACAGGATGGTTCACTCACTGCCAGCACCCACATTCATAAGAAGCAATCCTCAAATTCCGTTTCATACTCATTAAACAGGTCTGTTCATTTTGTAGTTCCCTGTTTCGTATCATGATGCACATGAGTAGAAAAAAATTATAAACTTTCATGCTATGTGACGTGCAGTAATTAATGTAAAATAACAGAAATCATTATAGATGCAGTATTATTAGCTACTACTTTGAAAATAATTTGATGTAATAACAATTATCATTCCCAAATTGGTAGTCAATTTCACAATTAATTACAAAGAAATGGCAAGGCATTATATTAAACATGATTTTTTTTTAATGTAGAAAGACTGAAGTAGTATTTTCATGTAAAACATACTCCAGTATTCTTTTTATTTACAACCAATTTTTTTACACTGTACAATAGACATTTTTTATTTTTAAAATGAACATGGCAATGCCAGACCATTTAAAATTAACACCTGAAGGAAAAATGGTGAACTATATTTATAATTTTCTTATGAAGACCATATTTATACTGCAAAAGAAAAGGTGTATAATATTATTGGGGGGGGGGAGAATCTATTATATTACACTCTAAAAAATGCTGGGTTAAATGCAACCCAGTGCTGGGTAAAATAGGGACAACCTCAGCAATTGGGCTGTTTTGACCGAGCGGTTGGGTTAAATGTTTAACCCAACCTTCTGGGTAGTAACTCAACCGCTGGGTCAAAACAACCCAATTGCTGGGTTTGTCCCTATTTAACCCAGCACTGGGTTGTATTTAACCCAGCATTTTTTTACAATGTATTTTTTTTGCTCCTTATTGTAATGTACTCTTATTTATTTAATATGTTATTATTTATCTATTCTGTTCAAATTTAAATGGTTTTTCTCCCTCACAGCCCCCTGGTGGGTCCCCCGACCCCAGTTTAAAAACATACTTTTCTTTGAGTTGGAACTCACGACTGCAAAGTATACCACACTCTAAAAAATGCTGGGTTAAATACAACCCAGTGCTGGGTAAAATAGGGACAAACCCAGCAATTGGGTTGTTTTGACCCAGCGGTTGAGTTACTACCCAGAAGGTTGGGTTAAACATTTAACCCAACCGCTGGGTCAAAACAGCCCAATTGCTGGGTTTGTCCCTATTTTACCCAGCACTGGGTTGTATTTAACCCAGCATTTTTTAGAGTGCAACACTCAGTCCTCTTATTCAAAACACATCCTTCTACATTTTTACTCTTAGATATACAGGTACTTGGATAATTACCCAAATCATCACATATTTTTAGTGGTGCATTTGAGGGAGGAAGAGGAACATAGTGTTAGTGACTGACCTATTGAGAGATGTTTACTGTGTCTGCTGAGTAGAACAAAATAGCAGAGCTTTATGTAAAGAGTTTGGGGCCAAAGACTAATAAACAACCCAAATCTTTATTTAGAAAGTGAATATGATCATTTAATGCTCAAACTGCATGAATTTAAATTTGATGACAAAATAAAGATGACTGTAACAAATGAAAACAATATTAATAAAACAGCCATTTAAAAAACACAATAACATTGCAAAATGCTACAAGTGACTACAAAAACAGTACATATTTTTAAGTGCACTTAACAAGGTTAATTGACCCAGTGCTGAAAAGTCCATTAGCTTTGCATATTTACAAATGATTCTGTCAATTAATTTTGGACTCCATCTTGCTGTTTATTTAGAATTTTTAAACCTTCAAAAAAGAACAGCAATGTTTGTCTAGAAGAGAAACCAAAAGTAAAATCAAAATATTCTATTCAATTAAACGCATTTGCTCTTTCTCCGGCAGTGTGTCTATTCAACTTGTGCCTTAATCCAACATTCTGCCTATTATCTTTTGAGAGTATTAATCACTTCAGTGCTTTTAGGAAAAATGGTACAAAACGATTAGCACAAATCCTCAAACGTAGCCTGTGACATCATACCCGGCTGCTGTGTTCTGCCGAGCTGATTTCCTGGAATCCTGAGCTGGTGAAGTGGAGTGGGTAGTGCTTGTATGGCTGTTAAGGGTCTGGTTCTTGTTGGCAGGTTTGGGGTTTGTGGTTGAATGTAGCGTGGCTGGATGGTAGGGCATCAAATGGGATGGTCCATGTGGTCCGGTGCGGTCAGGGTAGGGGTAATGGCGTCTGGTTCCCCTGCTACCATCCAAATCGTCACAACAGGATGCACTCAACAGCCCTCCACCTAGCATGGACAAAAGCGAAGAAGCCAAGCCCACGTATAAGCAGTCACCTATCTCAAACTTTAGACTGGCTGGCATGTTCTGCATGTAGAAGGTCTGCACCACCTCATGGGTCTTCCAACACACAGGGATCAACGACAAAAGCCCTGCCAGGAGGAAGAGTGAACCACCTATCCCAGCCGCCTTGCTCTTGACCGAAGAGCCATCCATGCAGACGGTGCACTGCATGCCAACGGTGGACACCATGCAGGCCATGACGGAAAAGATGGAGGAGATGACCATCATGGCCCTTGCTGCTTGTAGATCAGTGGTGAGCCCCAGAAGGGTGTTGTAGGTCTCACACTGGAAGGCTCCGGTGCTCTGGTAGACACACTCCATCCATAGACCTTTCATGCTGACTACCGCCGTCACGATGTTGGGGCCAATGTGTGCGGACGTTGCCCAATATGGCAGAAGAGTGGCTACCAGGGTCCCCAGCATGCCAAAGAGGCCAAAAAAGAACCCCATCAACTCCAGCGCTGCTATCACCATGTCACCCACTGGTTGACTGTGTTCTCAAAAAGTCAAAAAACTTCCGCTTGATTACTGTAAAGGAAAATAATACACACTTTACCCCAATAAATCTATTAATCTCAGCTGAAGCAAGTGTGCTTAGTTAATTGTAATGTGCACTTGTAGTGTATTTCAAATATTAAAAGTATATTTTAAAAAAAACTGTAGTTGCAGGTAATATATATTAATTAATTCAAATGCCACTTAGGTGTACTTAAAGACTTTCATTACTATATTTCTTTACACACTATATACTTCTAGAAGGTGCACTTTGTAATCATGTCAAATTAAAAGTTTTACTTTAAAGTACGTCTTAAATGATGTTTTATCGTGCTTTAAAGAAGTACACTTATTTTGATGTGTTAACCACTAGTACGCTTGTAAGTCCTTGATTATAATTGTACATGTTGTGTGTTATTCAATATTACATTTAAAGTTAATACATTTTAAATGCACCTTCATCATTACAAATGTGTAATAACAAATATATAAAGTTTCAATAGAAATGACATTAAAGTGCATTTAGTTTACTTTAATCTCTTGTCAGTACATTCGGCCGTATATTTCAAAGACAACAGAATCATAAAATTACATATAAAAATGTACTTTAGTCCTACTTATGTCAAAAAAGTTCACATTTAACAAACCACATTACAGTCTATTCACACTTAAGTATATTATTTTAATAAAAGTGCTCCTTTTTTAAAAGTATACTGAAGTATCATTCTTTTTCACAAAAGGTGCAAGTGTACTTACACTACATATGTTAATGAGTGAGATGTTTCCAGTAGTTCTTGTGTTCCCACAGTCCTTCTGTTTGTGCTCCTATACCATCTCTGTTGCTCTGTAGATATCAGGAGCTGTCCCTGTCCATGTACACTCAGGCACCTCTAGAAAAGATAAGTTAAAGATTTACTTGTTACTCACCCCAAAACTGACCTTTTCTGAGTTTATCCCAAAAACAAGGCCACTGTGGGAAAGAGCAGCGTCAATCACAGCGAGTAAGTGTTATGTATTTATTTAATTTTTTTCCCCAGGAGTGTAAAAATGACTCAAATGTTATTAGATGTTTTGTGATTTGTACAATTTCAATGTTATACTAAAATGACGTTTTCATTAGATATAGATTCCTTTTGCCATTAATTGTAATAATTCAGTGAGATTTTTGTATGCACAAGGAGTCTGACAACAGCCAGTGCTCCACACAGAGATCTGATCTGATCATCATCCAGGCCGTCTGTGATTACATGAAGAAACAGAACAAACTCAGACAGACTAAATCCAGAAGAACTGTGGCAACGTCGCCAAGATGCTTCAAGAAACCTACCTGAAAAACTATGTGCAAGTGTACCTATGACAAAAGGTTTTAAACAAAAAGTTGATTTGATTTAGTTCATTTGAAAGCATCCTCACTTCAAGTGCCAAAATACTCTTTACTGTAGTTTTGCAGGAAGGTTTCTTGAAGTGTTTTGGAGACGTTGCCACATTTCTTCTGGATTTAGTCTGTCTCAGTTTTTCCAAAAGCCCGACTAACATACCTTTTAAAAGCACAAATAACATATAATAACAAATAACAACAAAAATTTCAATGATTTTGACCATTAAACTAAAAATGTCCCTGGTTTCCATTTCAGAAATCGATCTCACGAACTGCTAGTGCAGTGAATCTCAACCTTTTGGCGTACCGGACCCCAGTCCAATTCAGAACCATCCTCAAGGACCCCCAGAAAAAAATGGACTCATCTATGGATCCTTTGTGTCTTTGTGAGGACCAAATGCAGTCATGTATAATTCAAGTTAGTTGACTTGTCCAGTATTTGGCCATATCATCATTTTTCTTTCATGGGAACATGTCATGTAAAAATATACAAAATGTATACAAAAATACTTTATATGGACCCCCTGGCCTTATGTCAAGGACCACTAGGGGTCCACGGACCCCTGGTTGAGAAACACTGTGCTAGTGGGTAGGGCTGCACAATTAATCGAATTTCTAATTGCGATTACAATTATGGATGCCACAATTACGTAATCGTTCAAAGCGGCAATTAATCGTTCAAAGTCCACTTATGTAATTCTGTACGCTTAAGATATGTTTTTTTCTTTCTACATGTTATCTTAAGGGTTTTTCCATTGTTTTAGTTTTAGTATAACATTATAATACCATTCATAATTTAAAGAAGAAACCAATCCGATGTATATTTGACATTCAAGGCTTAATACTATAGAAAAGCACTTAAGGTTTTTCAGCTTGTTTATTTTCATATAAAAATACGGCATTCAGTTGCATCAAACAATGGTATAAACATCATTCAATGTAAATTGTGATAATCGTAATTAATAATCGCAATTACAATTTCAAGGGAATAATCGACAATTATGATTTCTGTGTCTACAGAGGTGCCATCTAGACACACCTCAGCAAATGAGCTCAGAGGTGTGGAGATACACACAATGCAGGAATGTTTATTCCCAAATCAACACCTATGAACTTTGACTCGTATGACCTGAAGTTAGCGATAAACACACTGAAATAATGAGTTATACTGTTTTATAAAATGCATTGCTAGGAGGAAACTAAATATAAATATTGGGGGGAAATTGCAAAAAAAAAAAAAAAAAATTAAAAAATTGAAAATTCTATTTGGTAAATCTGAATTTAAAATGAATGTAATTGGGATATTGCTTTTATACAGCAATTTAATAAGAAGTTGATATTGAGTAACTTCCATTTTAGACACAATATTGCCAGATACGTTGTCTATTTTTCTCCACCAACGAAAATAAGCCACAGGAGAATCAACACAACGGCTCTGCTGGCGACCAATCAAATGTAATGACCGGAAGTAGCCTAACTGTTACATAAACAAAATACTAGTACTATTTTATTAGTATATTAAAGCACAAACATACTTTCAAAGAGAAACAGTTCGCAGAATAGACCAACTATTTGTCCCACGGCAAGGACATTGCTGTAAGCAAGATTTTGATTCATTCTTCTGTCTGATTTGCTATAAAAAACATTTGTATTACTAGACAACAAACAATTACACATTGATAAGCAGAACGTGCAGTGCAACAAACATACTTAAATGTAGCCTACCTGGTTAGTTATTTCATCAAGTCAACAAAAGTGTGTACCTTTGCAGACATATCACATCACTGAACAGTGCTTGTGTGTGTGGACAGATACAGTTTGAGCCGCTTTCAGCTGAACCCTTGACTCAATCTCAGTTAAATCACCTCACTGTAATGAGATTATACCAATAATCCAGCCTCTTACTGGAAGGGTCAACCACGAACCAGCAAAAACAATAGACTCATGTGACAGGCCATGTATGCCACCAAAATTACCCTGCACATTATAACTTTGTGGCTTTAATTTATAACGTTTTCAGGTTGTACTGAACTGCACTAAAAGTAAAATAAACTATATATTGATATAGTTATACTAAAATATAACTATAAAATCAACTATTAAAAAAATATATTTTTAACTATATTATTCAAAATTGCTAAATGTTATTAAAATGATTTATGATTGATGCAATATATCTACACTGGTCACATTGAGGTCTCTCAGGTCAGGGGTGAGATGTGTAGGTGCTGTAGTGGGAACGGCGTGTTTGGACCCAGAGGATGATGTGCCGTACAGAGGACTGTGTCTACAGAAACAAATCCGAATTGTGAATTCATGGTCATGCCATTAGTTTAGTGTTTTTCCTCCGGTTTTGCTAAGTAAAGTACAACCATTGTTATCAAAAATAAGTTAGGTCACCACATGATGCCCTATGTCAAAAAAAAATCTCTCTCTATATATATATATATATGGTGACCTAACTTGTGATATTTAATCATATTTAAGTTAAAAAATGTTGGGGTCAGTAAATATTATTACAATTTATGTCAAGTCAAGTCCCCTTTATTTATATAGCGCTTTTAACAATACAGATTGTGTCAAAGCAACTGAACAGCATTAATTAGGAAAATAGTGTCAATAATGCAAAGTGAAATTTAACATCAACACTGGATAATGCCCCATTGTGCTCTATTAGAGAAGTCATCAGAAATTCAGTGCATGGACATGGTGTTTCTTATGAGCGTCTAGAGCGCAACCAGAGTGATTTTACTGATCGTTTTATGCAGGAAACATCAATTACATGAATGCAGATTCAGATATGTCTTGCATAAAAGTAATTCCTGTTAAAAACTGAAAATGCAGTCCCACATTGGGAAATGTTGTTTCAGAGCGATCTCAGGGTTCTTACCTTAAAAATACTATTTGTATTCTATTACCCATCCCTAACTTATGATTTATGTGCATTTTATGTATATATATATATATGTATTTATGGCATATTTTTATACTTTTGTACTTTTGATTTAAAGTAAAATCTATATTTAAATGAGTGTAAACCTTGTCTGTTTGGGATTTGTGCTTCTGATAAGTCTCTTTTTTGAACTCACTTAAGTCCTTTGATGTTTTCTAACCTTATCTGTTGACTAGAAGGGGCTCTGCTGTTTGTCCAGGTTTCAAACAAAAGAGGTTTGATAAAGGACACTGTCTACTATGACAATGTTCCCCTAAGAATGTAAGATTTTCAAGATTGGACTCTTCTGTTGAAGCCACAGGTCAGCAGAGACCTGACTTGATGGCTTTGCTACTTCTAGGAACAGAAACAGGAGAAAAAGCAGTTTCTTAAAGGGGGACATTGAAGTGGCTATACCTACCAATGAGCCAGGAAACATTTCTTTAGGGCATGCAGCACAAGTCAGAATATTTTGGCAACGGAAAGCCATTGATTGCTGATAACCCTCTAAAATATGTTTGTTCGCTTTATAAGTTATACATCCATTTCCCTTTGAAGGAAATTCGGTCAAATCATTCGCAAAACCTACTAAAAGTTGCCTCTAAAATAATAATAATAATACAAATCCATAAAAGAGTTAGTGTAAAAAGATACTGTAAAGATATGAAAATCCTTGAGAAAAAGAATTACAGTTTAGCTATAGCATACTTCAAAAATTAGTACTTAATAAAGAATTAATATACTTTAAATGAATATACTTTAGTGTGAACTGATTGTAATGTTTTCGGACATTTGATTGCATTTTATTTACAATTAAATTGCTTTAGAGTTTAAATGCATATTAAATGCAATTAGTTCAACTTAGGAGTGCTTTTTTGAAATACCTAGTAGGACTTAAGTACATCTTTATATGTCATTTCATAAATATAGTTAAAGTGTATGTACTGACAAGCATACTTCTGTTATTTTTCATTGAAATGTGTATATCATGTATTTAAAAGTATTTGTAATTACACATTTAACGAAGTTGCAATTTAGTACATTTAAAATATATTCACTTTAAATGTAATATCAAATAACACACTACAGTACAAAGTACTTTATATGTGCTTTAGCATTTTAGTTAACATAAAAATAAGTGTACTTCTTTAAAGCATGATCAAAGATTAATAAAACATACATATAGTAATTAAAATGTAATTTAAAGTGAAACATTTAATTTGACATTACTGCAAAGTGCACTTTCTAAAACTGTGTTATTAAGAAATATAGTCATGAAAGTGTCTCTTTAGATTCACTTAAGTGGCCTTTTATTTCATAAATGTTTTTTTGTTTTTGTTTTTTTAATATACTGTACACAAGTGGACATTCAATACAATTATGTGTACTAATTTTTCACACACAGGGAAGCGCATTATCCATTACAGTCTCACAGCATAACTGTAGTTAATCATGGGTTTTCAACAGGGGGTCTGTGACCCCTAGGGGGCCTAAGGCGGTGCTGCAGGGTGTCTATGGGTTATTGTTTGACCTCAAACTAATTTTGTGAAAAAAACGAAAATAAGCCTATATTATAATAAATCAAATATTAAATTCACTTTCAAAGTTCAGCTAAATGTAATGTACAAATATATGACTCATCAATGATTATTTGAAGGGCTTGTCAGCATCATAAAGCATGTATGATAGGCTACTGCAATACTATATGTTAGTAGGCCATGGTTACAATGCAATGCTTAATTTCTATAATATGCAGGAACCCTGCTTCATATCTCTGTTCTCCATGGTCCCTGGACTGAAAACCTGCCTGTGAGCCTACTCCTCCATTACAGTAGTGCATTAATAATAATAATAATAATAATAAAAAAAAAAAACACATGCCAGAGAAATTTCAGTTTGCTATGTCTAATATATCTAACATATCTTATTTAGGCCTACTGAAAATTCCAAACTGTTGTTGTAGACCAATATTAAGACATTTAGGATGGTACAGCAATTTGGTTGTTACATTTAAATATGAGTTTAAAGGTCGTTTTGCAGCTATGTGTCTTACTGACATTACAAAACTCACAAAGCTCCATCTCAAGCGGCAAGACATGAGCGGTTCAGCAGCATTGTGGGTAATGCTGTCTTTTAACTCAAGGCGTGGCATCGAGAGAGACCCCTGACTCTATCATCCTCTTTTTCTAATTAAAATGTCACTTGGTGGCACTCCGCATTTAATAACGATAGGAATACAACATTAATGTCTGGGCATAAACATCCAAAGGTTTCTTGAAACTGTTTCGGAGAAGCGTATACGTGTGCAGAGACAGACTACACTACCCAGTTTATTTTTCCCCATTCCCCAAGAAGTATGACTTGGCGTTTACGAAATCAACAGTATAATTTCATTGGACAAACAGGGGAAATCCGTGACTCCTATTGGTCCATCCGCATGTCAATCAAACGGCATCCGTGACTCATGTGCGTGATCCCTAGCTGGAAACAGGGATGGAATGGACTAGCAATTGCAACAGCCTGGAAGGTAGGCTTTATTATTATTTAGCATCTCTGAGTTACATATATAGACACGCTATTTTGTTTTGTTCCATGGCAACTAAAAAAATCGCTGCGTTTATAAATATACATGAATCGCACTGAGAGCCCCTCGAAGGAGTTCTGTCAGCTGCTATAGTCAAACAGAATATGTGTCTCTTATTAATATTTTATTCGCTTTTAAGAAAGCTATTTGCTTTTAGGAATGGCCTTAGGAAATGTAATTAGCCTACATTGAATTGTTTTGTCAACATTTTCTAAAAACACTTGCACTTAGAGAAAATCTAGCACTTCAAGTATGCTTTGTATATCTTTTTTTAATTCTATGCTGTTTCAAGACGTTATTAAACGTGAAATTGCGTTGGGCGGATATTTTTCATGTGCGATAAAGCGATAGTAACTCGCGAATTAAATTAATTCGTTAAGGAGTGAGCTCGAGTGATAAATTTAGCTCGCGCATCTCTCTATCTACCCGCTCCGTTACTATGGGAACCTCCTCCCCCGCCCTCCCCCCTCCCCCATAAGCGTATTTTAGACGGGCAAGAGATTATATAGATTTATATAGTAAAGATATCAGCTTCCAGATAGCAGTCTTCTTTTTATGTCATAATTTAGAATATTGCAAGGAAAGCCTGGTGTTCATATTTGATTCTCAGTTCATTTGTTGTTTCGTCTGTCATTTGATAAAAACTAATGGCCACAATTACGATAACAACAAGTGTGCAACATAAGAAAACCTTTTCCAACCCTTAAAACGCTTCTTTTCTTCTCCCCAGGTCAAAATACTTCAGATTGAGTTCTCTTGTGGTAGTATGGCAGCAGGTAAGGACCAGATTTCATCAACTTCCATCTTAAAACGCTGAAGTTAGCATAGGGTCCATTCATATTTCTGTCTGATCTAAAAATAGCGCAGCAGTTCTTGACACATCTTGTTAAATGACATAAAACCTTTATGTAATAGATGATGTGTCAAAGCTCTTTGGGTTCCTCGAGCCCTTCTTGAGCTGTGACTCATTTCAGCATTGAAAAAGCCCATACTGATATTGAAGCATATTAAGGAAATATATATATTTTTAAAGGCGTCATGTGATGCGATTTCAATTTTTCCTTTCTCTTTGGAGTGTTACAAGCTCTTGGTGCATAAAGAAGATCTGTAAAGTTGCAAAGACTAAAGTCTCAAATCCAAAGAGATATTCTTTATAAAAGTTAAGAGTCAACCACACCTACCTAAAACGGCTCATTCTAACACGCCCCCACATGTCTATGTCACTATGTGGGAAGATTTGCATAACGCCGCCCAAATGTTCACGCAAAGAAAGAAGGCCTAACTTTTATTCTCGCTGTAGTTTTGTTGTTTCCGCCGCCATGTCGTAAAGACGCTGTGTGCTTCGTTGTGAAAGCGAAACTACTTTGTTTGTTCTTCCAAAAGAGGACGATATCTGCTTCGTCGTGCCTGGAGCTGATCCGTGCTGGTCGCTGAGGAAATACTACAACTTTGCATTGTCGATCGCCGGATCGGCTTTCACCGTCTAGCCCGGGCTCGTCACATGTCCTTCCGGACGTTCCTTCGTCGAAATCGCCGGCCGCGCCGTCCTTAAGCCCACCCGCCTCTGCTCACTCTAACCCTCCGGCCGTTCCTCACGCTAGCCCCCGGCCTCTGCTCACTGTAGGCCGCGCGGTGTGTGACGCTGTTTCGTTGTGAAAGAGAAACTACTTTGTTTGGCTGACAGGGCATCACAGTATGGTGAGGGGCATAACATTTCTGTCACACGCTTGAGGTATTCAGCCAATCACAACGTACTGGATAGCTGGCCAATCACAGCACACCTCGCTTTTCAGACCGATGAGCTTTGTAAAAATCGATGCGTTTCAGAAAGGCGGGGCATAGAGGAGAAACAATAATGTACAGTATGTGGAAAATACTTTTTTTTTAACCTTAAATAAACATATTTCATTACACCAAATACACAAAATACTGTTCTTTTTAGCAACATCATATGACCCCTTTAAAAGTCTACATGAAGTTAAAATGTATCTTTATTTATCTGTTTTCTAATTGCAAGTTATAGGTCTTATTGATTATTTTTTTCTGCGAATATGCTTCATTTTTTTTTTAAATCGTTTTGACTTTAATGAGATTCAGAATGATAAATGGATGGAAAATGGTAGTCAGAATAATGATAAAAAAGACTTTCCTATCAGTAATTGCAAATTTTATGGGAATGGCATAAAACCATTTTGAGTATTTGTCAGGCCTGATCCACTGGCAAAGGTATGAACTGGCAAAAATATGTATATGTATACACATACACACATAGGAACAAACAGAGAAACACCTTTGCCCCCATTAAAACATACAGATGTCTTACGATCTCTCAGCGTTCCTAAATGGCAAGGATGCAAACTCTCTCCTCAAACGTTTTCCACGGGCTAATGGCTTCCTGGAGGAGTTCCGGCCGGGCAACATTGAGAGGGAGTGTGCTGAGGAGAGCTGCAGCTTTGAGGAGGCCAATGAAGTGTTTGAAAATAAAGAGCGAACGGTAAATCCTGTCTTCATCAGCAAAAGATGTAAACAAATTCTATTTCCTGTGTTTTTTGTTTGTGGATGCAATTTAACAATAATGCAAGTCTATTGTACCATTTTGATTCTATGTGCTTTTATGCATACAGATTGTTTCTTGAAATACCAGCAAATCAGTTTCAACAATTTGCTGGCTAATACAGTGCAGTATTAGGGTGAACAATATGTGTGAACAAGCACTTGCCAGGTTTGGATGCTTTTATGTAAGAAATCTGCTGTCATAGAATTTGAGCCAGTCGCAAAGTTCTTAGGAACCGAAGCAATTACTCCACACGCTTTACCTACAGGCAAACATAACATACAGATCTATAACCCATAAGTGGGTGTTTCTATTAGGTGTTACTTTTGGCCCTGTGGACTTTTAGAAAATAACCTCTCTTAAAACTCACTTTTGCCATTTTTATTTTTTAAAAGTCATGAACATTTTTTTAAAAAAATCTCAGTTCCATTTCCATCACATTGTAATTTACATATTGTGTTTAATAGCATTCTGTGATGGAAATAAAAAAGGAATGTATATGATATTTTACACATTTTTGGACTAAAATGGCCTAATGACTAATTTAGCTGGCCGTTTATGTATCCCAATTATACACATTTTAATCATATTTTAACTGTTTTAACTTTAAAGAGAGGCCTGTTGTGATTTTTCAAGGTTGTTAATTGATGGTGCTGTATATGCTTTTGTTAAAGCCATCAGCCAGCACTATTTTAACTTATTTACTAAATAATCAGGTTTAACAGCAGAATGTCAACAACAACAAAAAATGGTGGAAAAGATGCCAAAACTGTGGAATGGTGTGCTGGTGGTGGTAGTGGTGTGTGAATGCTAGTGATAAGTATAAAACACAGAAGGCCACTGCATTTTACTGCTTTAACCATTTATCCCTTCATTCATAGATGGAGTTCTGGAAAAACCGCAGCATCTACACAGTGAACAGCAATGCTGATTCCCGCTCGGAGCGGCCGGACGCTGTGTACATGGTGGTGCCCCTACTGGGCGTGGCTCTCCTCATCATCATTGCGCTCTTCCTCATCTGGCGCTGTCAACTGCAGAAGGCCACACGTCGGCGTCCGGCCTACACCCAGAACCGCTATCTGGCTAACCGTAACGCCCGCAGCCTCCCGCGCATCCTGGTGCACCGGGACCCTCCCTCGCATTCAGAGAACTCTCACGCCAATGACAGGCCCAGCGTGGTGGTCAGCAGTGCCCAGAGGGGCGGGGCTTCAGTCACGCCGCAAGATGCCCATCATCACGCCAGCCACTCTCAGAACAATCGCTCCCTGTACGTGCAAGATTCGTCTTTGTCCGTGGCTTCCCACCTGTCAGGGGCAACCCCACCGCCATCCTACGAGGAAGTTACTGGCCACTTAGAGAGCAGCAGCGATGAGACGACAGCCCCCTACAGTGATCCTCCGCCCAAATATGAGGAGATAGTGCTAGAAAAGTGAGAGTTTTCATAAAAGAAGACACATATAGTGGTAACCAAACATTAGGGATACACTGGTTCCCAAGCACTTATCCTAATCTGGCTCTCACACCAAACAGAGTGTGCAGGCTATGTATGTGACGGTCTCCTTGTGTCGTTGATCAGTTTGTGGACTGCACTGGTAAACGTGGTTGTTTTTCAAGTCGCAAAGGGTCCTTCTACCTTCACACTCATGCGGCCTTCTCACCATTTCCGTGTACCTTCACTCCTCCTTCAACCTCTCACACTGCAACCCACGGCTGCAACGGCTGCCCTTCAGAAAGAAGAGATATTGCCAAGTTGTGCGCTGCATGGTAATCGCATCGGGCATCGAGGTTTAGAGCCTGCTAGGAATCGAAAGGAGCGTTCATGTGGGAAAACAAGATGATGTGCCAAATTTAATTGGTGTATCGTAGAAATGTTCAGACATGGAATATTTATAGAGCGTGCGTGCTGTCCTTTCTTGTGCTTATAAATTTGTGATTTCATAGATTCCCTTATACCAGCAGTATCTCTGATCCATGCCAACGTCCTTAGAATTAGTAATACATGTAAACTGTAACACTGATGGGAACAAAACAAATGCAAAATACAACATCCAAGTCACATATTTGTAAAATTGAATATGGCGATTACACCGTCGTTTGGAAAATGCACTCAAAGGTATGCACACAGTTTGATTGTTTACAGCCACATACACAGAAATGTACATAGAATGTAATGCGTTTGTTTCTTATGGAGCTGGGCCTTAGAAACACAGAGTAGTCAATCAAATCGTCTGCTCAGCTGCTTGTGATTTTACGGTCATTGAGAGATTTTACCTCAAACGCTGTGCTCACACAATCACTCTCCAAGACACAAATGCACCAAAACTCAAACAAAATACTGTGTTTGGGGCTCAATCATTGGATAATACAACATTCCAGGCCCTCGATTTTCTTGTTTTGTTGTTCTCCCCATCGTACTCAGACTGTTTACAATGTGTTTTATTACTGTTTTTTTATTTTCTATAACAGCATAAAAACTGTGTGAATTTGTACAAAGCTTTCTGTGGCTTTTGACATCACCAGGTGCTATACTGTACTATAATGCTGCTTGTTCTCACCTTGTTTTCCTCCTCATCACTATCTCTCTGTGTATAAGGCTTGTGCTCTAACTAGTCAGCCAAACTGCCCATATATTACATGCAGCTGAATCATCTTTTCCAGCTCAGGTTTAAGCCAATGAACTACTGCCATTGTAGTAAATGTGTAAATAATATCTCACACTGCCAACCTTTCAGTGACTAGGATATTTGACTTGTGCAGTCACATTTACCAGTGTTCTGTGAATTTTCGCGGGCAAAATGCAGTTATTTTTCGTGAGGGCGTAAGATTGCCCTATGCAGATTTCGCAGCGTGTTCAAGCTGGTCACTCTCATTAGCCACACTGACCAACAGAAAGATGCTTGGTTTGAAAGTGACTTCTCTGTGAGCTGTGCTTCATATATCTACAGTATTGACAATAGACAATGGACCTAGTTTTGCCCACAAAATTTCACTAATGTGACCGCACTTTAGGAATATCGCTGTATCAATCCAATATAAATGTAAAAGTGACATTGCAAGGGGTCAGTGGGTTGTTGGGCAAATCACTAAAACTAATGAAGCCTTAATATAATTGTGCTGAAATCACTGTATTATAAAATACTAATTGCAAAAAGTGTTAGAACTTTAACAAACGCTTTCATCCAAACAGTAGACAGAACGGCCTGAATATATATACACACAAGCACAGGATTTGAAAGATGCACTGGGGAAGTGGGGTTTGACCTTGCTTCTGCTCAATGAAAATGGAGGAATTGCAAACTGCTTACTTGGCTTGGGGCTCGGCTCAGGTCTCTTGGGCCTCTTACTCCAGCCGCAACAATCAATCCCACAATGCCCTGACAGACTGTCTTTTGCGCTGATGGAGCACCCAGCTCGGTAGACAGCACTGATAACGGCTGGCACAGACTGCAGATCAGTTTCAGGCTTGGTTGCTGTTGAAAGACTGATAAGAAAATAGCATAGCCAACTCACTGTAGCAGATGATGAGCGTTAAGAGATGGGCTGGACTGCTGGTAGCGTCAGTGAGTTGTAAGTTATGGCTGAACGTTACAATGCAGCATAAAGCAACAGGTTTCTATTGTAACAGAGGTAGCAAGAACTGAAGATAATTTCAAGTGTGGTTTATCTTCGTGTTTATTTTAGACCAAGAGAGAACTGCGTGCGTGAAGAAATGTGTCAGAGAATATATGTGTGTATATGTGTTCGTATCTATGCCTGTTGCCAGCACTCATGTTCCTGTCTAGCATTTGTGCTAGTAGGAATGTGCCACAGAAGCCACAGGCTTTCGTTTATATGCTAAATATATGTGTTATATTCTAAACCAAAACATAATACACCATTGTTCTTCAAGCCAAATTGCATTAATTTTTAATCATTCATGATATGTATTTTATTTTGTTCATTTGATCATTTATATATTTTTTTCCACTGTGGCTCTAATTATCGTAGATCTGTTTGTGCTTGTTACAACAATTCTGCATTTATATTTAAACAAATTTTATGAATATAAGCACTACTGCTTTTGTAATTCATAATTATGACAAAATTCTACATTTGTGTATGTCTTGTATCAAATTTCCTTCTTTTTAAGCATCATGGCAATTTCTATACCAAATGGATATAATATACAAAAATATCCATTTAGTATCATTTGTCGCACAAGAAAATCAGTTGCGTAACTAGTAAACGGATGCATGAATCCAGTTTTTATTTGTATTATTAATTCTATTTTGCTTTAGAAGTATTTCTTCATATTTAAGCTTGGATATAATTAGGAAAAAAATGTATGTAGCTCTGTGAGCTCAGTTTTATTCATGTTGAGCGCTTTGTGTTTTGACACACAGGCTTGTTAAAAGCATTAACTATCAATGAAGTATCTCACCCAAAGAAAATGATCATTAATTGCTCTTCAGTGCTTTTAATTAGGCTTTAATAGTGTTTAATTGACCATTGACTTTAAAAACAGCCCGAAGTCCTTAGAGTCTTCCATAACAAATCTATAGCTTTTCTTTAAAAAAAAAAAAAAAAAATATGCTTTAAGTATCTTTATCTTTAGCAGAAACGGACAGAAAACGCATGCACATTGCACCGCCCTCTTTTGTTCGCCGTCATACGACGTCACGTACGTCAGTCGACGTGAGCTGCATTGAAGGTGAGCCGAACAGCTTGTTAGAAGTTTCAAGAAGTGTTTTTATTGAGTCAAAACACCTAAACGCTCTGTCTACTGTTTGTTCATGTATCGCTAGTAGATATTCAAAGGTCTGTGTGGAAAAACGAAACCGAACCGCTCAGTCCAAGCCGTGGACACATTATTACGATGTGTGAGTTGACAAATTTAGCTCGAGCTGTAATCAACAGGTGTCTGTTCAACAGGACAGGTCTTGAGGGAATGATCTTGATGGCTGACCTGTGGGTCACTGACCGCTCACTTTGAATACATTACATTCAGCAAGCAGCTGCTATCTTGAGTATTTGCTACACTGTGGTTCTTTACACACGTCAAATTACTTACCACGACTTTATTATTGTAGTCTATTACAGTCCGTGTTTTTGTTTTGCTCACGTAACGCAGCTTAACATTGGATGCTGTACCGTGCGGTCAGTCTAATTCCCTTTACTGGCTTTAGGGTAGTTATGGCTTCTCCGGGGTATTATTTTGGTGACGGCCCTCCGATGCGCGAGCGTGACTCGTGCTTCACTGAGGACATCAGCCAGAGGATGCGCGTGCCCGATCGCCTGAGGGTCGGGCCAGCGCGTCACGCGCACGCACCTGCAGACCAAAGATCCGAAGAGCTACCTGCTGCCTACAGCATGCACATACCAGACAGACTGGCCTTAACAGGTAGATTTCATATTGGTCATACTCATAATTCAGACTATGTTCCGCAATGATTTACAAATCAGATTTATGAATGGGTAGTTGCATTTATTTGACCAAAATTGCAGTGAAACAGTGATGCACTACAATTTAAACGTTAAGAGGGTAAGATGAAAAAGAAAACCGAATTATTAATACTTAAAGGGATACTACACCCAAAAATGAAAATTCTGTCATTAATTGCTCACTCACCCTCATGTAGTTCCAAACCCATAAGACCTTTGTTCATCTTCGGAACACAAATTAAGATATTTTTGATGAAATCCGAGAGCTTTCTGACCCTCCATATTAGACAGCAAGGTAACTACCACCTTCAAGGCCTAGAAATGTATAAAGAACATTGACAAAATAGTCCATGTGACATCAGTGGTTCAACCGTAATTTTACAATGCTATGATAATACTTTTTGTGCGCAAAAAAACTAAAATAACAACTTTATTCAACAATTCTTCTCCCCTGAGTTACCATCTACTGCCATTATCTAGGGGTGTAAGAAAATATCCAGCAAAGGGTCTGAATACTTAGGACCATGTGATATTTCAGTTTTTCTTTTTTAATAAATCTGCAAAAATGTCAACAATTCTGTGTTTTTCTGCCAATATGGGGTGCTGTGTGTACATTAATGAGGAAAAAAACCTAACTTAAACGATTTTAGCAAATGGCTGCAATATAACAAAGAGTGAAAAATTTAAGGGGGTCTGAATACTTTCCGTACCCACTGTATATTTTTTTAAATGTATACCAGATTCATGGCAGCTGTTTCGTTTTGAGTTTATATCCCGACCGCTATATAGCAGTCTTCTTACCTCTGAACTTGTCCAGTCCCGCCCGCTCCGTATCAGGGAGCCGCTATCAAAGGGGAGTATTTTAATCTTTTGAATGAGCGCTCCGCTGTTTACTTTCACTTTTGATTTCGCGATCACGCACACTCTGTGTAAAGGGAGCTCATCTTACGATATAAAGTATTTGTCAATGAGCTCCGGATCCGTTGAGTAGCAAATCCTCCACCATGGTCTTGTAGGTCATCCCTCCTCTCGACCCATGATCAGTCAAATCTGACTCCTGCAAGCACTTAATTGTTCCCCCTTTACTTGTACTGCACAAAATGTGGTTCAGTAGCGTTGAATGTTACAGGGACAGATTAATGCAAATGCAGATCCCACTGTGTTCTGGTTAAAAGTATTTATATTATTTTTTTTGCTAAGGTTTGCATATGATGGTGTGTTCTAAATGACAGTTTTCTTAAAATTATATCATATTCTCCTATTCCTAAAATAAGAAATATCCCAATATATCGTCTTGCTTATAGTATCGCAATATATTGCATCGCAACCCCTGTATCGTGATGCGTATCGTATCGCCAGATTCTTGCCGATACACAGCCCTACCATTATCGAGAGTAACACGACGCATGCGTGTGCTTTCCTTTGCTCATAAACAAGGCACAGCGCATGAGGGTTCTACGTCAGCAGCATCACGCGCATGTGTCGTGTTACTCTCGGTAATGGTGGTAGATGGTAACTCGGGGGAGAAGAATTGTTGAATAAAGTCGTTATTTTAGTTTTTTTTTGCTCACAAAAAGTATTCTCATAACTTTGTAAAATTACGGTTGAACCACTGATGTCACATGGACCATTTTAACAATGTTCTTACTACGTTTCTGTGCCTTGAATGTGGTAGTACCCTTGCTGTCTATGGAGGATCAGAAAGCTCTCAAGATCCTCTTTTTTTCTCTCTTAAATCTTTTTTAACAGATACTCCTGATCTGAGTCCACGACCTCTCTTCACTAAACACACTTCATCAATGTGGGACCTGCAGCACGGGTCCTGGGACAGGGAGGCGTTCATGAGAGAGCCTGTCCAGGTAGTTTCACATACCCTCACGTAGCCAAACCTTTGAATAAATGGCAAAACGGACATAGATTGCAGCTTATTCTAGCCAAGATCTGCCCACTTAAAAGAGCAACCTGACAGCCTCGTAAAGTGTCCAATCACAATTTGTTTTGTTTTTATGTGACGTGTAGAGGAAAG